TTTTCGTAACCACTATATAATGTATTTATTGAAATAATCATCTAAAGTTTTTATAGGAAAATGAAAATGTATATACCCAGGACAGCTACATATATACTCGTAAATGCGCAAACACTAAATTTCTGTATTTACAATATATTTTATCTTGGAAAATCGTTTAGTCAAATTTAATGATAAAATTTAAATCAGTCGCCTAAAATGGAAAATTAAAAAAATTTGTAAACTAAAAAACACGCATTATATTTTTGCTAATTTAATTATTACTTGTAGGTAATATTAAAATTTGTACAGAAGAAAATAAGGAAAGATTTTTCTTTCTTAAATCGTAAAGTTGTCGCGATATAAAGCAAGTTAGTTGAATGACATAAGGCACATGTTAGTTCGAGATTAGGAAGGGAACATGGAGATAGTGCGATAATGAATTCGATCATCGCGAAGAATTTCAATGAGAAGAAGCGCATCGACGTCAAATCAGTCGCGAGAAAGAGAAGCTAAGAGAGATCCTAACGTAAAAGAACTTTTCAATCTTTTCTCGTGGTCCTTACGAAGGATGAAAGGATCTCGTAAATCGTACGATTCGTTTTACGTCCTCCTTTAGAGCCCAATGTTTCTACTCCTCCTTTCCTGTGCCCTCCTGAGCGAACTGGGAAGCCTCGGCCGGTGTCACGCGAGGGTAAAGAGGGTAAATCAGTCCTAGACACTCACTTTAACGAGAGTAAATGCGCTCGTTTCCTAAGTACAAAATACTTTTAAGATAGCTAAAGCATTATTTAGACATTTTTAGTTGACTAATATGCGAAATTCTTGAGATCGATTAAAAATCTTTCAAGGTGCAGTTCTCTTTCTTTTATTTATATCTATTTTTGTAAACTAAAAGTAATATAAAATTGATTATTTTCTCATATAGCGAATCCATCACCAGAAGACATTTTATAATATAATTTTGTTAATGTCTCTCAAGATAAGCGATGTAAATATAAGTGATGCGTAAGAATTCTATTTTGTCTACTTAAATTTTGTGAAAAAATATATCTTTTACATTAATCTTTGTAAATTTACATTAATTTTTTCGTAATTGTGTTTATTTTTCTGATGAAAGAAATTTAAATCTCACATTAAAAAAATTCTGTTATCTGAATTTTATAGGATGCTTGACTTTACCGGATAGAAATTATAACGTCGCCACTCCGGCGTATTTGCCGGAGTTACCCTATATATTAAAATGGAGTAAATTTTTTTCAGTATATATTTAACGGTTGTTTCCTTTAAATTTAGTCCTTCCATATGAAGAAACGTTATTACTACGAAAAATGTGATAAATCTTCATCGTGGAAACATGCTTTACACGATACTGCACAGTGTTGCATAATTCGTAAAGACTAATAAAAAACACTAATAAATGCATTTATTAATGCAGACTTGCAAATTACATGCTAATACTTGTTAAACACCAGTCTTTGAATTTGCTAGAGTCCAACATCACTTGCATATAAAATCCAGAAAACAGATTTTTTTACAAATTATATTTAACACCGTGCATAATTGTAAAAGCTAATAAATAATTTGATATTGATAAGCGTACTTATAAATGCAGATTTGCACATTATATGATAATTATTGTTAAACATCACACACAGTTTTTGAATTTATTCACTAAAATTAAATGTCATATAAAATTCAGATGACAAATTTTTTAATACAAGATCTAAATTTCTTCACCACAAGAATAAATTAAATCGGAAAAAAAGTAATATAAATTTACAAAGATTAATAGAAATATTTTCATGATTAAAACAGAAATATGTTTTTCTTTGATATTCGATAGTAGGTAAAAATAGAATCTACGTCATTTATATTCACATCGCTTATTTTGAAAGACATTAACAAAATTACATTATAAAACGTCTTCTGATGATAGATTTGTTATAGTATATATGAAAAAATAATTTTAAATTATTCTTAGTGTATATAAAGTGTAAAATTTTTTATATAAATAAAAAAAAGGGATTCGCTCTTTTAAGGATTTAATCAATTTAATGTTTAATTTTTGATCGATTTAAAGAGTTTTACGTATTAACTGAAAATGGCCAAATAATGTCTTAAGCTGCCTTAAGAATATTTTGTATTTGGAAACGAGCGCATTTACTCTTGTTAAAGTGAGTGTCTAAGACTGATTTACCCTCTTTTATATCCTCGCGTGACACCGACCGGGACTTCTCAGTTCGCTCGGGAGGGCATAAAAAGGGAGAATTAGAAACATTGGGCAACTGGCACCTGCAGCAAGTAAATCAATATCTTCCTCGTAAAAATCTCGGTAAAAACACGTTCAAAGCGGAGAATTTCTTTGCACGCTATCACACGACCTCGTAATCGGAATTGCGGATTTAACGAACCTCTGATTTTGAATTAATTCGGAGATACGAAGTAGTATTAAATTCCTTTAATCTCGGGTCCTCGAGTCGGGGTTGCGGCAATCCTGGGAGTCGGTTACCACGATCACGGTGGAATATTGACAATAAAACGAACCGTCGTTCATTCTCGTTACCGCGACAAATAATAACCCGTGCCGTCGATGTCCGATGTAAGCCGAGAAAAACACTACGGGAGCACCGTATATCTCCGGCCGGCGTTTATCGCGCGTTACCGGGACAGCATAGCGACCTAAAACCTACAACCAACGTAGAGAAGCGGCGCTATCGTAAGAAATATTAAGGGTCGGTGAAAAAAAAAAGAAAAGCCCGAACCGGATGTTCGAATGGTTCATAAAATACGATGGTTGAATTGGCCCAAGTTCTATGACGCGCGCCAGGACGGCGGTGTGAAAAATGTTCCAGTGGTGCCGCGATCGAAATGAAACGATCGCATTATTACTTGGGTGTGGTAGAAGTTATACCGAAAGTCTCGGGTTTGCCGCGGTTCTATAGAGCTTTATGTTACAATAAAAAAAAAAATAAATTCCTCCCTTCTTAACAAAACTGTCGAGACGTCAATAATTCTTCAGTATCGAGAATACAATTTTCGCGCTTTAACTACAAACAGCATTCTGATATACATATACACGGAAATGGCTTTGCTGAAGTATCTGAAAATTTAAGTTAACTAAAAAAAGATACTAAATTTTAATAAACATTTATTTGAATAAATTTCTAAGCAAATATTTAATAAATTTAAACGTATATTTAATTGCAAAAACGATTAATTTGATTTAATTAACATTTTATAAAATGAACAAATTATTTTTTTAATTGAATAAATTAATTGAATAAATATTTGTTTATGTAAGTAAATGTTTATTTAGTACTATCAAAAAAATATGTGCTAAGATTTTGCAGTAATTTTTTTCAGTGTACAAATTTGAAAATAATTTTATTGAATTATCAAAATAATTAGAACGCTCAACTGATTATTAGAATGTTAAAACTTTTTGCAGCATTGTTCATCATGTTTAAGTTCCCTACATAATTATTTTGATAGTTTAAAAATAGTTAAAAATGTTAAAAAATAGTTAAAAAATTACTTTCAGATCTATATCTAGCTTTTTCAACAAAATCGCTTTTTTCGTGGAGATGTGATTATTTTTCAAAAAGAATTTTTATTTGAGGTGTCGTTCGAAAAAATTTATGTTGATTCTGTTTATTAAAAAGAAGTGTGCCATTTACATAACAGTGCTCATATATTCATGACTTTTTATCAAGAAAAAAACTAAGCATTAAGAAACATATGATTTTGTATCTCATTTTTCTTGCATCATATCAGACAATTCGTCTATTTATTTTTTGGTAAAAATTCAGAATTTAGGTTCGATCGAATATTTTTGCTGGTAACCTACTGTTTGGTAACGTGTGGTATGGCATGGAAAATGAAAACTCGCTCTAGCCGACCCTGCGGCGCAGTTTTTCGAAGCTGGTGCATGAAAGCATTTTTTCCGGGGACATTCGCGTACGACATTTTGAAGAAATTACTTCGTGCAATTTTCTACCTTTCGCTGGTACCTTTTACTAGCTGGGTAGGAAATAATTTTGTATTTTACTAGCGAATTTGTACCACGACATGTACTGATACGATGCCAGAATTATTCAACGAATTACAGTCCATAAATTCCAACCATGTTAAATATTTTTTAAAAGAGATATGCGCACGTACGATTTATATAAATTTAGAGCAAAAATCGGACTTTATTCAAAATTTTCTTCATATAAAATCTGTGGAAATGTAGTAAAAACGATTCGATGACAAAATATTAATCCTTTTCGAAGTAACCAAAACTGTTTATTCGCAGTATCGATTTTCCATTTCTGAATTGCAATCAAATAAATTGCAAAATATTCAGAAATGAACAAGTTAAATATTTAGAAATAATGATAACTTTATTGAATGTACATTACACGCTTAAAAATAATAACATAAACACAAAAAAATAAACTGCTTTTATTCCATTTTAATCGTATAAAAATATTAAAAATAATTTAGTAAAATATTAAAAATAAACAATATATAATATGTAATTTAAAAAAAAACAAAAATTACTCTTTAATTTAATTAAACAAAAATTGTTTTTTCACGATAGATGATTTCGAAAAGAACTTCTTTTAATTTAATTCGAAAAAAAAAAATTGAGAAAAACGCTCGATACTCGAATTGATCAAAGAGCCAAGAAAAGAGGTTAAACATGGAAAAATTCTTAGGGTACCGCATGTATTCCGCTATTGAACGGAAGAGGCGATCGCGACGCAAATAGAAAGGGGTAAGTCGAGAAAGACAGGCGGATTGTAGGATACACGTATAGGACGAGGGAGGCGCAAGGGTGGCGAGAAAAGAGAGTAGTGGTTTCCTCGTCAAAAAAGATGAAGTCAACGCGGTTTCGGGGAGGGTGGCTGGCACACACGGGGCCGAGCCCGCGGCGACGCGAGGACGGGGGTGCGTTCTTTAAGGTAGGGGGCATGCGCGGGCGTCCGGGGGTGCAGAGCGGCTCTCGGAGGTTAGTCGCTTGCCAACATCACGACGTGCCGCTCGTGCCTCGCGATCGCTGGATTTACACGCAACTCGCTTCCACCCCTTCCACCCTCGCCATCATACTGTCATCCCCGTTCATTATCGGTATCCAATTTGTCATCAGTTCGGCATCGATCGAGAAAAATTATCGATCTTTTTGGTTTTACATTTTCGACAGTGAATCTCGCGAATCGAATTACGAACCCTATCAAACGACGATTTCGAATTTGTCGAAAACGGCGCGCGTGTATTTTTATTTGCGTGTATATGTCGATCGTGCGCGCATTTTGGGGATGCAACAGTGCGTCGAGAAAGTGCTCCGATCAATCTGTTAAAATGTGGATCGCGCGATCGCGAGCGCAAACGAAGGACGATTGACGATGCAGTGACTTACTTGCTGGGGTTTCTTGCTCGAGCGAACGTTTGTGATCTTCAGCGATCAATGGTGATCTTGGAATCAAAGTGACGTAAGGGAGTGCAGTTGAAGTTGTGCCAAATAATCGTAGAATGAGAAACGCGTCTCCATACGAAGGATTAATGACGCTTGCGGTTAATAAGGCGCAACAATAATTGCAACAATTTCGGCAGCATTTTGGCATAATAATTACATAAATTATTGGCATGATTCACCACTGATTTGCATAATAATAACTCTTAATACAACGACACTCGCGGTGTGATGATGGAATAAATGGAATGTGGGCGCGGGTGCGCGTTTATTCTCGGGACCACTTTTCACGATAAGCGCCACGTCCTCGACGAAGAGCGATCTATTGTGAGGTTCGTGGTACCAGCTGCGGCGGATCCGTGGACCAGAAGTGACTGCACTGCGTGCGTGTCATCGTCATTGCGGTAAACGGCGCGCAAAAGTGCGCGTGGAACGGCTTGTATTACGAACGGCCCGGATTCGTTTTGACTTGAATTCGACTCGAAGAGGATCACAGTGCATTTCCCAGCGGCGATTTGGATGCGTGTCTACACGGTGCAGAAACGCGATCCCGTCCTCCAGCCAACTCGCCGCGTCCGAAAAGTGTAGTTCCGAGATCCGTAAGTGAAATTCATCTGTTCCTTTTATGTCGGTGTGCACGGGTGTACTACTGAATTTCCTGTGAAGTGAAAATACGAGATGTTTCGAAAAGGCGTGTCTAATACCTCTACTGCGGGATTTAATTCTTGAATTATCTTTTTTCTATGGTGCGACGGATGTCTAGTCATTTATCAAATCACTTAATCAAGCCCTTATTTTCATTGTCTTATTTTCGTTGCCGCTACAACGAATAATTTTTTATTCATAAACAATAGCATCAGATCATACTTACGCTTTTATTGTTAAAGTTTCCTTTTTCGTAAAGAAATAAACAGAAAATCGATTGAATATGAAAGACGGATTAAAGTAAAAGTAAATAAAAAATTTTTCTAATTTAAATTTCCACATAAATATATCAGAAAAGTCGATTCTTAATTATTCTTTATTGTCACATTGCTAAAGTTTTTTTTTATAGAGAGAAATGAATAGAAAATCGAAATGAAAACAGATTAAAGTAAAAAAATAAAAAATAAAAAAATTTCTAAATTAAATTTCTAAATAAACATACCAGAAGAGTCGATTCTTAATTATCCTTTATATCCATAAACAATACCGCTATATTATATTTACGTTTTTATTGATAAAATTTTCCTTTACGTAGAGAGAAATACATAGGAAGTCATTGAAAATAAAAACGGATTAAAGCGAAAAAAATAAAAAAGTTTGCTGAATATTAAATTCCTAAATAAACAATACATACCAAAAGATTCGATTCTTAATTATCCTTTCTATATTAAAGTAAAATTTTAATGTCCGTCGCAATATTAAAACTTTAGGCAATGTGTTCATTATTTATGGAATTAATGCCATGGATTTCAAATTTTATCAATTTTTTAAAATTCTTTCTGCAAAACACAGTCTGGTTGCATCGAGGTTGCATTAATTGGAATTCAGGTTGAAAATGGACAAATCAGAATTTTCTGGTTGAATCTATTATAATTTTAATTTGAGATAACTAGAATTGTGATTTATATGATCAAAATCTTCTGATTCGTCTATTTTCAACTAAAAATTTTTCTCCATGTAATTACGCTAGTACACTCTTCTTACGGTTTAATATCATTTTTCTAATAATAGAATAAATTTTATTGAATTTAGCATAATTTTAATTTTACTTAATTAATTTCATAAATCTTGTTGAAAATCTTGCAAATATATATTGTTCCTATGTGAATAGATATATTTTACGGCTGAATGCATTCAAGTGTATTCGGTGGCCAATATGTTTAGGGAACGCAATTGACGCTGTGCCAAATATCGTACTAATCGTACAATGAGAAGCGTGTATGCGTATCCGCATGAAGGATTAATGATGCGTGTGGTTAAAAGGGCACAACAATAATAGTAACAATTTCGATAGCATATTTTGGAATAATAATAACTCTTAATACCTACAACGGCATATGCACTCGCAACGTGGACAAACTCCAGCTGATGGATTGAAATACGTATTATTACATTATCGCGAATGGAGAGTAATAATATTTACTTGCGGAAATACAGTAATAGGAAATTTTTGCTTGATCTAATTGAATTTTACGCCATTTCCGCGCAGCGACGTCGCGATGATGAGCGAACGGCGCAGGAGACGGTAACGGGAACTTCGATTTGCACTCAAGACGAAAAACGTAATACAATTTATCGGCGACGCCGTGCGAATTTCGGTGGCGAATATGCAATCGACTGTATACGCTGAATATGCAATGCGTTCTCCTAACTTATATCTTTTGCGGAAGGAATTTTATTGGATGGTGGCTCTCGGACGCTTTGCGCAATAAAAATGCTCAAAGCTAATCGATTATCTCATCGAGCCGAATTTAGATCCTCGAGTTTAGCTTTAGAGTTTCGTTTCGAGTTTGCCTACGGACTTTGTGCTACTGAAATAATATTAGCTATGCACAGAGAAACGTGATAAAATATTCAAGCCGGTAATATAACTTCAGTTGATTGTATTATACTGAGTGTTACACACTTCTATTCTGTTTAAGGGTATAATATTGTATGATTTTTTTTATAAGGCAATCTTCAGTATGAATGTATTTTACATTTGCAAACAATGTTAATCTATTTTCCTCACTTTACTTTCTCTCTCTCTCTCTCCCTCTCTCTCTCTCTCTCTCTCTATACATATATATTTTATATATATCTCTTTATCTCTATCCCTATCAGTGATGTTATATACCCACTAATAATAATCAATAAAAATATTTTTTATATAAAGATATTTAACAAGAAATGCATTAATGTCCATAATTATAAGCTATTTATATTGGATATAACATAATATTTGATCAAATGTGCTAACCTTCAGTACACGGGGAGAATTTTCTTTTAAAATTTACTCTGAAAATATGTCAGTTGTGATACGATACAATATTTTAAGATTTTTACCATCCACTTCAGTAAAATTGATTAAATTTATTTTATACTTTATTGTAGTTTTATTAATGAATAAGAGAGATTTGCATTAAAATTTTTCGAAATGCAATGTTGTCCCACGACTGTCATATTTTCAGGATAAATTCTAAGAAAAAATTCTCTCTCCGTGTACACATGATTACGTCATTATTCGTGTCGTGCACATTTTTTTCTTCAAAAAACTAGAAGCACCTAGTAATTAGTCATAACATTTACATATAATTTTTTTAAATACACAATCTTACAAATACTTTTCAAACTATATGTAAGACTTATTTAATAATCTTTGTTAAAGTGATTAATCTGGGACATGAATGACCCATCGAATATAGTAAACGGCTGGAATAATGAAAATGTGTACAAAGTGTTAATGTTGGAACAAGACATCAAGAACGCGCCGCGATCTGCATTTCTACATATTTTAAGATGTTTGAAAGAAACAGAAGATCATATGGCTTTTTTTTACGTCCGCCACAATTGCTTGGGACTTAGGTTATCATGAACATTTAAAATAAGCGATTCGCCGACGATCAGTTACTTATCTCTATTCGCGAGGTGTAATTTCGCGAATTGTCGTCCATCGATCGTACCTATTCTTTGTTCCATTTCAGTGTACGCGTGGCGCGATCCATGCCGTAGAAACGGCCAATATTTTCTGACACAATAGAACCAGTCATGGAGATTACGCGCGGCTTCGTTCGATAACGCGGCTTTGGTGTTAAGCGTAGAATTTTTCCGTCAAATGGCTTTCCAAGCGATGCTGTAACGAATCGTCCCGATGGATGTGGTGAGTCCATCAGCGACGCGCGGCGTACTTGTTAAAACGAGTAATTAACAGGCGCCCATTATCGGCTTGTTGCGTGGCACTCTGGGGTTGTCAGCGATTCTTCATTGAAACGTTATTCAATTACCTGCATTACGTGCTCTGCTCGTCATCATTTCTATCGTGAAATTTAAGAAATAAAAAGTACAGTTTCTTTTGAAATGCAGTTATCCTGATAATAACAATAGGCTAACAGAAACCTAAGGGCGAGAGAAAAATCGTGATTAATTAAATCGTACATCAAATAAATCAAATAAATAATTTCGATAAGATCGATTTCTAGTAAACAATTTAATCAGAGAGACAGTGAAAAGGATTAGTTGAGCTACACTTTGATAAAATTTTGTTACTATATTTTATATTGCTGTAAGCAAAAAATTGTTATACGTTTTTATTTATATTTATTTGAAAAATGTTTGGTTTGATGAATGGATTTAATACACTCACGCTGCAGAACGAAATCCTTCTGCACAGAAGCAATTGATGATTTAATATTTTGGAAAGCGCAGACAACGCGCTAGTGGAAAATTGTATGATTTTGCTGAATCCCGATTTTCACGTTGATATTCTGCGAAAAATGGATTAGTTTCCGGTTATTTGAAACAGAGTACGTTACGTAAGTACTTTCTTTAGTATTTTAATTACCGTACTTATTGTTAGTAATTGTTTCCTCCGATTTTCAAACGACAAAAATGGTATAATATGACTTATGTTGCATTTAACCTTTTAGTAGGTAGGCGATTACATCATCTCACGTATAGTTATCTCTGATTCCGAAGAAGGAAAATAAAAAATATTGCCCAGAAGTTCTAAAGTTCATCATTTTTACATTCTTCTATTCCATAAGGATATTTTTAGTAATGTAAATTTAACTCTATATATACCTACTATTAAAAGAATATAACTATAAAAATAAGTTTTTGTGGAATATTTTGAATATCCTATCTATGTAAAAATGTAGCTTTACTTTTTCAGAGCTATTGTCGCTTCAAAGACGTTTGTGGCCATCCTACGCAGTACGCGTTCATTGTATAACGCAGTTATGCAAATTAAATTAATAATAACGCTGCTGGCGAATCCAACTGAACCGGATCGCGATCTAATTGTTTCACGGGTCATACCGATGACGGTTTGTGAGAACGGATCGCGTGGGAACGGGAGGGAAGAAGGGAGGAGGTGCAATTAATTACTTTGATTATGATTAGCCGTGCGTTATGCAAATCGCTTAGAGAGGTAGATGCACAACCGATATTCGGCCACTTTGCTAATTGCCCTTCGATTTGCGAGTGGTTTTAACGCGTGTGAAGTAGTGTGAACGCAAAACTCAATTCGAACATATCCTATTAAGTGTGAATATCGTTGTGTCTTGTGCGATCGTAGAAATAATTTATAATCATCAAATTATATTAAATGCACGTGTTCTGGAGTCAAATAAATTTTATAATTAATTCACTGAATTAGTGATGCATTCGAGCGAGACGAAACGAGAAAATACCGATACTGAGGTTTAGACTTGATAATAATAAATAATTAATACAATTTTCTCATCTCGATGGGCCAATATTCTCGCTTCTCAAGATTTCCGAATTTTATTTCGAGACATTCGAGATCATCTATTTCGTTCCATTCATTTCAAATACTTATATATAACCAGGCAGCACATTATATGATTATAACAGTCATAAAGATGTCGAGACGAGAAAAACCAATGACATAATA